TGCTTGCATTACCATCTAAGGAAATTCAGGGAACTATCACTGGGGGAAAAATCAGGCAAATTGCTTCCTCTCAGACCATCCTCAACAGAGACGTTTGATTTGCTGTTGCTCTGTGAGGCTTCCCACTGTCTTGCTCCTATTTCAGGAAGGGTTTTGCCTATGCAGGCTCTAAACAGCTGCTGCACACAGCAACTGCTGCCCTATTGGGCCTCAAGACATTTGAAGTCAACCCATATCCACTAGAAGTAAATGTGAATCAAAGGATCACTGGCAAGAAAAATGGCCACAGAAGCCAGGCGCGGTGGCTCACACCTGTAATCCAGCACTTTGGGAGGCTGAGGCAGGCAGATCACAAGGTCAGGAGTTCAAGACCAGCCTGACCAACATGGTGAAAGCCCGTCTCTACTAAAAATACAAAAATTAGCCAGTGTGATGATGCACACCTGTTATCCCAGCTATTCAGGAGGCTGAGGCAGAAGAATTTCTTGAACCTGGGAGGCAGAGGTTGCAGTGAGCTGAGATCACGCCATTGAATTCCGGCTAGGGCAATAAGAACAAAACTCCATTTCAAAAAGAAAAGAAAGAAAGAAATGGCCACAGAAGAGCTGAATGCAGCAGATCTAATAATATGTGAGGCAGAATACATACATCTCAAAACAGAGCCAGGAAACCCTGATCAAAAGGAAAAATGATTAAGGCTTCATCTTGCACAGAAAAGGAACATGAGGCATAAATAGCACATTAAGTGGAATAATCCTTACAAACCGGAGCTGTATACCATTTCCATTAAGTTGCCCTTCAATTCATTGCTATTTCACCACCTTTGAACCCAAAACTAAATATCCCCAGGAGCAAGATACAGGTCATACGATTGGCTATTTGGATTCTCTAATGGGATGTGATATGACCTCGAAATTCAAATTAAGTGACTGTTTCTCTTATATCTTGTCTAGAGAATGGAACAGATTGTGAGATCTACTTAAGTCATTGGAGATGAATTTGGCTTGATGAGCAGCCCTTTTAACTTTAAAAGCCATCTCTCAGCAATTCTTGGTCCCTAGGTTTATTTCTACCAGTGGAGGGGTGAATTAAAGAAGAATCTGTTCAGGTTGTGACCTAAATATTCTCAGTCATGGGAATACTATTTTAAAAACCCATATTCCTTATGGGGCAGGCTGACATGTTCCCTACTAGTACTGGCACAACCAAAACAAGCTTTTGATTTCATTCTTAAATCTTTCTGAAATGCATACTTTTCTGCTATTCCTATTTCTGAATTTAGCAGGTCACAGGGGAGAGATTTGCCACTTTAATTCCTTTGCACAGGAGCTGGGAGACTTGGGTTCCAATTCTGACTCAGCCACTCACTGTGTGGTTTCAAACTTGGCTATGACATTTTTTTCACATGGTGATATTAGGAACTTCACTTAATTTTTGGGCCCTTGTTGCCCTGATCTCTAAAATGAGTGATTACTAGAATTCTTTTCATCTTCAGTCTATTCTTTTCCTATCTAAGTTATAGAATCACAAGCAAAATTGATTCTATCGTGTACATAAAAGTACTCTATAAACCTGAAGTACTTCCTGGGAGCATTTTTTTTAAATATAAGGCAAAAAGAATGGCAATGTGGTTAGTAATAAGATATCCTAATCTATACTAAGATAGGAAGAAAGACAATGGCTGCATCTGGATTTTACTAGAAGTGAGAAGTTCTATGACTTAATGTAATTCCAGGGGAATACGAACTGAAGAGTGCTGTCTCTCCTGAGTAGTCAGAGGAAAGAAATATAGTGTTATTGTTTCCCTGTTGGTCAGGAACCCAAGATGAATTCTTGAAGGAGGAAGGTGTGTTTGCATCACTGGTTGTTTTGGAACTTCCACGAGACTCAAAATTCCTCAAATCTGCTTCCCTCATGCTGTACTCAAAAGGAGCCAAAGCTATGCTGTAAGAAGAGAACCAATAGCCTACAAAATACTTCAATTCTAATTCTACAACTACTTCCAGGGATACTGATTTATAAAATAAGAATTTTTAAAAATAGGAATAAATATTGACTTAGGTTTAAAAAAACTATGTTAATATTAATAGCCATCTTCATCAATGTTAACCTCACTATCAAAAAAAAAAAAAAAATCATGTCAATGCACACAAAACCTGAAAGATATTCCTGATGACTTGAAGGTCTTGGCTCTAATCTGAATGCTCTTGGAAACTCCAAGCAAAAGTACCCAGGAAATATTCTGTCAAGCTTTGGGCCACTCAGACCTCAGCAGAGTCCAAGATTACACTCCTTGCCTAAGAGTTTTCTTTAAATGATCACGGTTTTTGAAACAATTATTTCTTAAACAGGCTGATATTCAACAGGCTGGGTGCTGCAGAGGCTCTGAGTATCTTTCTCTCCCCTCATGGACCCCAGAGTCTAACAGACCTTTTTTATATGGTGTAATAATCTGGCCAGGCGCAGTAACTCATGCCTGTAATCCTAGCACTTTGGGAGGCGAGGCAGGTGGATTACAAGGTGAGGAGTTTGGCCAACATGGGAAAACCCTGTCTCTACTAAAATTACAAAAATTAGCTGGGTATGGTGACGCATACCTGTAATCCCAGCTGCTTAGGAGGCTGAGGCAGGAGAATCACTTGAACCCAGAAGGCGGAGGTTGCAGTGAGCCAAGATCAAACCACTGCACTCCAGCCAGGGCGACAGAGTGAGACTTCATCTCAAATAATAATGATAATAATCTGTGGTCTGAACAGAGCACAGAAGGCTTGGGAGAGTGAAAACAATGCCCTGTATTTGGTCTCCACCATGTGAGTGGCTGGGACTCTGTCCTCTAGTCTGTGCTCAGTGCATGTCCGGCAAGCGATTTATCTCTCTGCAATCTGAAGTTTCACTCTGCAGAGGGCACAGTGAGGACCCCAGGCAGATTCGTGAGCCCCTTCCCTGCTTCCGCCATTCATGGGTAACCATGACCTTGACTCATCACACGGAGAGATGTCTTCCCAAATTATCAATCCTGTGTGGGGTTTCAAAAGTCTAGCCCTAACACAATACCATTTCTAAATAAATTCCATAAATAAATTTTTGTTGTCTTTCAACTTAAAAAGCCATGGAAAAAGACTATCTTTTTGTTTTGTTTGTTTTGGTTGGGGGAGGGGGTTCTCCTCCAAAGTGGGGAGGATAAAAAGATATCCTTTATCCACTTCCATTATCCTCTTTCCCCCCTAAAAATCCCACTTTTAGAGATGTTCACTTATTTACAAACTGACTCTGAGAAGAAATAAGAAATGAAAGTGTAGGGACTACGAAGTGCAGTTACAAAGATGAAGTCTTCTCAAGACCCAGGATTGATCTGTTTCAATTCTGGCCCCCCTTTGGAGGTGGTGTCACTCTTTCTAGGCATCCGCAAGGAACTTAGCGCATTGAGGGAGGATACCGTCACAGGATCCCTGATGGTCTTATGTTTCAGCAACACATAGGCAGAGTATAGGGCAGGAAGAGGGTTTCTTTATGAAATAACTTCTTGTCTGGAAGTCCCATCCTCACCTAGGTGAGAGGAAGTCACAAAAACCAGGCCACTTGTGCAATCAGGGTCATTTGTCATGGAAAAGCCACAGGGGAAAGGTGATGGCAAGGAGGTTGCAACCTCCCTTTCTCGGTGCACACAGCTGTTGGTAGGAAGAGGCGTTCTGCAATGCCTTTATCAAAGGCTATCCTGGATCTGTGTGTGTAAGCCACAAATGTGTGTCTGTGAACATTTATGGCTTATGTGCTAACACAGGAAAAGATACCCTCTTTGATCAGTTAAACAGAGTTCGGTGAAATTAGCTCTGGACTAGAAACTAGAAAACCTGGTTTCTCTGCTTTCTCTCTTATTGATGTGGCCTCTGGCAAGCCCTTAACCTTGGTAAGCCTCAGTCCCCAATTCTGTAAAGTGGAAGTCGCAAGATCTGTCCTGGAGAGCAGGTGAAATGAGACACAAGACAGCACTGTAGAAAGTAGAAGGTAGTTCACTACTGTAGAGTCATTATTTATTATGAACAAGCAGGAAAGAATCCAGATGCCAATTATTTGGCTGTCTTTTCACTAAGCTAGGTAATCTAGCCAGAGGGTGAGTGGGTAAGATTTTCCCCGCTAAGGTTCACTGCCTGTATGTGAATCTACAGCACACAGGTTCCTGAGCTCTATTGTTGACAAACCTATCTTAATAGGCTGTATTATTTCTAATTCTCTTCCAGATCTCCAAGCAGTAAAAAATACCAAACTGAGAAAAGTTCTGTGCAAATTAACTGGGCCAGAAAGAATTTTGACCACCTGTTTGTAGAAGCAGCCTGTTTGTGGCTCTAAGTTCTAAGGAATGGAGCACTACTATGATGTGAACTTCTTTCCTCCTACAACCTTCCCCTGTAAAGTCTGCCCCAAATTTCCTGATGTAAGTAATAAAGAAATTTTACGTTTGTTTGTTTGTCTGCATTAAGATATATTTCCTGAAGTGTTAGGAACCTAAAATTAGAATATTTAATAAGCAACTACTGACATTTATCATCTTCTTTAGGATTTACCGCTCACCCAGTGACGTTACCTTTCCTAAGCTAAATTAAAAGACAAATTCAAATCCTGCATAGTAGCCACCAAAAGCATACATTTGAAAAACAGGATTCAGAATGCCATATTATGCATTATTTAATGGTATGCAAATTATAAGTCAGACAGTTAGGAAAACCACACTTCAGCATTAATAAACAGCAACACTACTACTACATTAATTATGATATTGCTATGATCTATTCCCAAGTTTTGCATTTTGATTCTCCTTGAAAATTTATGCCATCTGATAAGCGGTAACCTATTTCCCCTCCTACGTCTCCTGCCCATTCCTCAAATCTGTTCCTCCTACCCACCCAATGGGTGTCTGTAGGAAACGGGTACAGAAATACAAAGTCCTAAGCAGCCGCATTGTCTTATAAGCATTAAAAATTAAAGAACAAACAAACACCACCTAAAGCTCCAACATTTATTGTGTCAATGTTAAGCACACTTTTTAAAAGACAACATAGAATGTATAGAAACAAGGGGTTGGGGACTCATGCGCATTTCCACAATACGGGTAATTAGGTTGGCTGGTTTCAGAAGGGCCAGGGCATCACTCACGACAGCGATGGTCCTCGGGCCCTCTCTATGGGACTGATTCACTGTTCCAAGGTGGGTCTGTTTTTTTGTTTTTACGTTTTATTAAAAAATATAAATAAAATGGCACTGCAGGCCCAGGCTGGAAGGACTCTGCAGGACTCTGTCTTCGCACAACGGCTTCTTGGAGGCTACTGTCAGAAAACATCACAAACTAGCAGGATGACAGACCACGCTGACGTCGGCCGGGCGGACGCGTCCACCCCGCCCCTGGGGGCTTCAAATTTTCTCAGAATTTAAGGGCTCTCGAGCTTCCATCCGAAAACTGCCACACATCTTGAGCTCTCTGGGTACTACGCCGAATGGGGGTGTGTGAAGAACCTAGAAAGAGGTTGGAGACAGAGGAGGGGAAAAAAAAGTACAGGTGTGACTTGGCCCAATGATTTTCTGTTCTCTAACTAGCTTTTAAAAATTAGAACTTAAATCAACCACAGGTCGAGCCACTGGCATCTTAAGCATGATTTCAAACTCAGTCTCCCCTCCCCAAGTACCCCTGACCTCTGAGTGGCCTTCCCATGCCTCCCTCCTTTCCGTAGCCCCCAGGAGGATCCAGGTCCCCCCACCCCTGCCCAATTGTATGATAGTCCTAATAAACTCGGGACACACCTGGAAGGAAACACCTGCCTTTATGACTGGGAAAACTTAGTAAGAAACAGTCCTTTGGTTGAGGAGAGCGGGAGAGGGAGGAGGGACAGGGGACACCTTCTCAAAATAATAATAAAATTATAAAGAAACAAAAAATCAAAACTGATGTAAAAGCAGCACAACAAAAACATGAAATGTCATCAAGTTCAACGTCAAAGCAGCCAATGATTTACGAGAGGCGAACAAATCTCTGAAGAGAAAACCAGAACCCAAAATAGTTGCTCTCAAATTGCACCAAAAACTGCCTGTAGTTTCTTTCAAACATGCAGTTTTCTTTTCTTTTTTGGAAGGGGGAAGGCAATGGTGAAGGGAAGAAGGGAGTGGTTATTTTCCTCCGGGGTTCCTCCCTTGCTGTGGACATTGACTTGAAGCAGCAGAACTGGGAGTCCGGATGTGCCGAGGAAGAGGGCTACCACTGTGGCATTCCAGGCCTCGTTGCCATGGCGACCCGAAGCAGGGGCCTGGGGCCTCCTCTCCCCTGACTTGGCGCCGCAGGAGGCCCGGGGTCTGGAGCTCAGCTGCTCTCACGCATCCCACCCCTGAGCAGAGCAGCAGAGACCTGGGCTGAGGGGCATGCTGTGTCCAGGTGGGTTCTGGGGAATCCCATTCCCAGTCCAGTGCTAAGTCACTGTCGTCGAGGCCCCTTTAGCTGATACCCCATTCAAACCCCTTCATCCAACCTGCTACCAATAATTAAAGCCCTAATAGGCAAAGCATATTATGGGCATGAACTATGTTCACAGCTATTTAAAAGCACAGTCCCCTATGGGTTTAGGGGCTCCCACTTTAAAGGATACTTGGGGAAACGGTTAATTTACCTTTTCTACAATCCCTATGAAAGATCTGATATACGTGCTCCCTTGAAATAGTTTTTGCCACTTTACAGAAAGGAAAAACAGTATTTGGATCAACCATCGAGCTGTGTTCAGCCAAGTTTAGGTTCTTAAGTACAATGACCCGTGTGAACTGGATTGGCCTCCTTTCCCACTTGGAAGGGAGGAATTAATGGTATCCCATGACTGCAGATGACGCTGGGAAATAGAGAGAGAGAGAGAGAAACAGTCCCATCCCCCTAAAGGCTGAGTCACTGGCCACGTGCTATATGTAGTAAATGAAACAGCGGGCTAATGGGATAACGAGATGCCAGCAAGCAAAAACGCGGACCCGACTATGTCCACGGTTCATAGCTATAGCAGCGCTAGAATAAATACACATCATCCCAATTCCCTCTACGTGTTCTGATGTCCATTTCCCTAAAAACGGGTTCATTTATTCTCAATTGGGAGAGATGTAGGGCTTTAGGAGACACCTAGGAAAATCTGCTAGATGGCTCATAACTTTTACAAGTTAGCGGTCTTTTAAGAAACATTTTTCCAAGCAGGTTGAGCGAACTCTGCCAATCCCATCCTCATACCGGCAAAGTCCCCACAATTTTTTTTTTTTTCACAGGACGTTGTCTGAAAAAAGAGAATGGGATGGGTACATTCCTGAACACACCAGGCCCAGGGACAATGGAGTCACAGAATCGTAATGAGGAACACACAGTTACAGCACAGTCATAAGAAATCGTGTTTGTGTGTGTATGGAGGGGAAAAGAGGCTTAAAACGAGAAAGCACTGTGTTTCCTCCCTCAGTCTCTGTGAGTAAAATGCTACAAGCAGAAGAGGATGGGGCCTGAGGCTTCTCAATTCCTTCTCAGGAAGGCCCAAAATAATCCCAGTACCTTTCAGCAAACTGTTAGTGTTTGTGAGTAAGCCAACTCATTTCCTTACTTCTCCAATTGGAATTATATCTAAGCCACCTCCTGCCACTTCCTTTCAAATTCTCACTCCCAGCATTATGAATATATACAATATGTACTTATTGCATATACAAAAATGGTATTCAAATAAACAGATCTATATCCACAGAATGCCCCGGGAAAAACTCAGCTACTTCACACTTCCTGCTATGGCCGGTGCAAATGAAGAGCTGTGTTCACCTCACTTCTTAGCAACCTTTGTAACGTGGTGATTCCAGCCCTTTTGTAGGTCCTAAACAGAGAGAGGATAGCAAATGGGTTCAAGAAGGAGGGCATATAGGCACTGGAAAAGCTTCTGGTTTAAAATCTGTGAGAAACAGGATTTGCTGTATGCCTGTTTATTAAGTTGTTCTCAAATGAAGATTAAAAAGAACATTTTAAGAATCAGGAGTTCACGTATGTAGAGAACATTTCATCAGCACGTCAAGCCTGTGAGAAAAACTTACTTGAGGATTTTGAGAGACATTAAGGTTCTTAGTAGTTCCTCATTTAAAAAAATCGATCACGGATTCATCTTACTGTTGGAAATTTTCGTTATTTTATATTAAGATTTTAAATTTTAGAGTTTCAGATATGAAATATCATTTATAAGTGATATTCACGTTGGCTAGATTTTCATGCTTCTATTGTTCATCAGCTTCAGAAATAATATTTTATCAGAAGGCTTCAATAAGTCAGGAGACTAAGTAACCTGAAGAACCTGTCTCCCAATAAATTTATTTAACTTTGGGACCATGTAAATCAAACATAATCTGTGATTTATCACCAGATGTTTGCACTCCTCCCCGGTCACCATTTGATTTAAGAAATTTGAACAAACAAGTATACAGTATCCACCATTAATTCTGTCTGTCAGGATGCAAAACCTAATTACACTAAGAGCATCATATACTGAGAAATTAAAATGAATACTGTATTTAAAACCTACACAGCTGCACTCATAGCTCCTAATAAAAGAGTAATAGGGACACACAGAGGTTTTATGGACATTTAATATGGTGGAGCCAAAGTCACCACATCTAGAGCCAGCATGGCACTGGGGAATTATTTCTATCTGTCTGGAGCAGCATTTTGGACTCAGTTTTGGAGAAACCAAATCCAAAACACATACAGTATATCTTTTCTAAGTTCAGTGACAAACATCAAGTTCTCAAGGTACCACAACCCCACCCTGGCCCAGCTCCTATGTCATGTTCTCCAACATTCTCTCTCAGTGGATTCCTCTAGCCCCACTCTCTCCTTCCCACCCAAACTGGCTTTTCAGAAGACATAGACTATCTCTCTACTTTAGAAAGATGAAAGTATTATTGCCTAAGATAAAAGGCATGACATGAAAAGGCCACCTCACAGGCACTAGGGCATAAGAACTGAGCAACAAAAAATGCTACCACAAGAAGACAACAGAACAGCTTTTGTTTTGGTTTTTTACAAAAATAAGAACAATGTCGTATTCATTCATCTACACTGGGTACAGGGAGACGATATCACAGAGGTATGTTTTAGTAAAGCAAATAGATGCTGCAACACGCGGTATTTGTAAAACTGACAACACAGATTTCTAAGGAATGGTTTTTTAAATAGACCTAACTGGCTGGTCAAAAGGTAACTGAAGGGTATTCCCGCCCTTATTTGCAGTCAGCCAGGAAGACCCTATCAAAACACCTGAAGTAATCTGTAGCGTCTAGGGTCCCTGGGATCTTAGAACCACAAGGCAAACCACTATACATCTCAGGAAATCAGTGGCTGATTCCAAAGATTTCACTATGTCTGGCTTGTCTGGCTGAACCCCTAGTAGCTGCTTTTTTCTCTCTCTTTCTCTCTCTCTCTTTTTCTCCCTCTTTTTTTATTTTTATTTCTGTAACCTGATGCCTTTGTTTCCAGATTTTTAGATTTGAAAAGTGGGGTTATTTTGTTACAAGGAAAGAGTCTTACATGGAAACTAAACAGCTGATTTTTTTTTAAATCATTTTTACATTATATTATAAGGCAAGGATGGGAGAATAGAAAAGAACTTTTAGACAACAAGAACAGCAAAAAATCCAAAGGAAATAAAAGTTTAAGATGCTATTACCAGCAAGTTTTTTCACTTATATTTGAATGGATTTCTGCTAAGAGATGGAGTAAGTTTTTAACATCAGACTGAAAACACTTTCCATATCTTGAAAATTATTCTAGAACTGTAAAGCCTTAAAACTATTTCCATGGGTTGAGATATGTCTATTTTAATATAGTAAGTACTTTATGTTCCTTTAGGGTATAATACACGCATCAGAATGCCCATAGAAATAATCCTGAAAAAGACTGACTGGCCTTCTCTTAAAACCTGTTATTTTCTTGAAAGTAATTTACAGAGTGTGTCAAATGAGGACACAAGAAGCTTACAATGTGTACTTTAATTTTTTTTTATTTTTTTCAATAAAGGGACAAAATGGGTGTATGAACAGGTTAATGCAGACAACTGCCAAAAAAACACAGACAGTGGTTTTTCCAATAGAACTTAACAAAGACCAGAAACAAATACAATAAAAAGCCAGGTTGTAATGACCTTTGGTCATCTAAATAAAAAAAAAAATAAAAACAAAGAAAAATAAAAGATCAAATTAAGTGCCTCTGTTTTGAACAGGGCACATAAGCAATAATAAATAGTGACTCCCATAGTAAAAGATAAAATTTCAAGTTACGACAAACAGCTTTCATTACAGGAATAGAAAAGGCCAATAACAAAATATTCTGCATTGCCATTTACAAAAAAGTATTGACTAAAGCGGGCTTTCTCTTTAATATGCTTTGCATATGAAATTCTTTCCAATCTAAATATAAAGCACCATTTAGTTTTTGGCAATGAAAAAAACTGCAAAACATTGGTTTTTTTTTTTTCCTTTTTTTTTTTCTTTCTTTCTTTTACTGCATATGAAGGTAAGATGCTGGAACGTAGGGTGATAGAAGGAAAGGGACAAAAAGCACACTACATAACAAACCAACGTTATCAGCTTGCAGTACTGCATACAGTATGGCAGCAGGAAAAAGGAACAAAAAAGGATATGTACAACCCCTATGACAGCCATCCATGTGACATTCTAGCAGGCTCCCCCAAACCGCCATTATATGGCTTCTCATCTGTAATGTCACACTTTTTTGTTTCTCTCTTTTTTTTTTGAAGCATACAAATAATTTGCACTATATTATCCTGCCAAATTAAAAAAATATACTGTGGCAGCCTGTCTTTTTTTTTTTCCACTACCAAAAAAGGTACATTGATACCTTTTAAGAGAACAAGCAACAGTTAAAAATACAAGCTTCAATATAAATACTATAGTGCCTAACACTAGATGAACATTTAATTCAAATACCATTCTAGAAATACAGAAAAAAGACCATAAATGTATTTTAGCATAGGAATCAACATGAAGTGTGCATTTTCCTATATTTAAGTACTATATAATCTTAAACCTTTCCCCAATGTATGTTTTTTTTTTACAACCTGAAGAGCGGTGTGTATCCAAGGCATAGAATTTCCACTACCATTTTTAAATGGATAACAAGTCTTGTAACACCACCAAGACAATGGAACCCTAAAATGCAGTTCCCCCCTAAACATAATGAAGTGTTTTTTAAAAAAATTTTTTCTTAACATTTATATTTAAAAAAGTTTTGTACAAAAAAATCCTTGCACTGTAGAAGCGAAAGCAATCATTCATTTCTATGTTAAGTGTATTCTGTTTCCATTCACAGCGCTTGCAATGTTGCGTCCAAGTAAGTAAGCTCAATAGTCAAGTAAATGGCTGGCAAAATTTTTTTTTTTTTTTTAGTTTTTAAAAAATGCTCATCAATGAGATTGTGTTCAATTTTTTTTTCAGCATTCTTGCAACTTTTCCCTTAAGTATAGACCTGTAAACTGGGAAAATTGTACAGTGCACTTAATTGTCCTATCTGAGCAGGTTTATTTTATACTCAACCTCTGTATCTCTGATTAGAGAAAAGATACAGATATCACAGGCAGAGTCAAGTGCTATTTGAACACCAACTGGGGCAGATGCTAGCTTAATAAAAAATAAAAAAATAAAAAATAAAATAAAAACAATGAATCCTCTTCCATGTTAACACAAATAGCACACAGTGTATGGAAAAGAAATGAAGTACAACTTTTAGGGAGCACAGACATATATACTGCTACTCTTAAAATTCTTTCTCTTCTTTCTTTAAGAATGTCACATTTAAACGCAAGTCTTAAGAATTCATAGTTAATCATCATTGTATCAATATTAGCTTATATACCTGTTCTAGTTTTAAATGGCAAACAGTACCACGTTGTGCTAATAAATTGTATTTTTTTCTTCTGTTCCCCTCTGTCAAATCTTATTGTCAGCCTCTTCCTTTCAATATGGTATACAAGGTCTTAAAGTTTCTCATTTGATTGTCCACTTGACAACCAAGTAGATCTGGATCTATTTCTTTTGGTGCCAGAATTTTTAAAAAAGGCATTATTAAAGCAAATATCTTCACAAAATGAACTCCTTACTAATGTATTTAATTGTTTTCCAGGGCTTTTGCACATTACACATTCAATTTTAATCATTGTTTAAAAAAAAATACAACTTTGGGCAAAACAGCCCATTTCTTTTAAGCTCTCACCAGGAGCAAAGTAGCTTTTATACTGGTATAATCAGTTTTGTTTATAAAATTAAACTAAAGGAAAAATGATGATTAACTAGGACATAATGGGTCATATTTTTAGGTAGCCATTGTTGTGAGAAATACAATATAGAATTATATGCTAGTTCCTAAGGTTTATTACCTCACCCAATGCTGAATTAAGCTACAAGTTTATAGCAAGTAGAAAGAACCATCAATGTGGTTTTAATAGATCCAAGGCACTCATATTTTAAAACCAAATGATAGAATAAACTTGTTTTTTTGTTGTTGTTAATTTGTCAATTCAAGGCCTTTTTTTCCTCTCCAATTGATACATTTAACCCTTTAGAGACAGATATTTAGCTCATAGAGATTTTTTTTTCAACGCTATCTATTCTGTCTATAAAGGGTTAATCCAAAGACTGTTTTTCCTCCTCACATTATAAAATAAAACTGTACATGATATGTTTTACAGAATGTATGCAGCATGGTCTTTTTCTCTCTCTCTCTCTTTTTCTCTCAGAACGGAACTGGAAACAGCAACATGTTTGCTCAGCAACGAATTAGGGACAATTTAAAATAGCCATAACATACCATACATGCTGTCTAAGTTTAAAAAAAAACATACACAACATGTAAATTATTGCACAAGAGAAAGGCTCAAAGTTTGCGTAAAATGCAATAGTATTGCCCCATACAGATCATGCATTCAAACGGTGAGAACATAAAGGAAAAAAAAAAAAAAGGAAAAAGAAAAAAAGAAAAAGAAAAAGAAAAAAAACAGGTGTGCTGGTGACAAGCACTCTCATATTCTTAGCTTCGTTACTTCTGTTTGTTTGTTTGTTTGTTTAAATCACATGGGACTAGAAAAAAATCCTACAGGGAGTGGGGCTGGAGGGCGATGGGGAAGGGGAGTGGTGAAAAAGGGGGTGTCAGGTGGGAGTGAGGGAGGGGTATTAATATACCTCTATTCAGTTTTTATATCATTATTCAACACTCGATCACTGTGCCATTTTTTCATGTGTTTCTCCAGGGTACTGTACACGCTAAAAGGCATCTTACAAATTTCACATTTGTAAACGTCCTTCCCCACCTGGCCATGCGTTTTCATGTGCCTGGTGAGCTTGCTACTCTGGGCACAGGCATAGTTGCACAGCTCGCATTTATAAGGCCTTTCGCCCGTGTGGCTTCTCCTGTGGACAGTGAGATTGCTACAGTTCTTGAAGACTTTCCCACAGTACTCACAAGTGTCGCTGCGTCTGCCCTCTTTTGAGCTGGGCCTGCCCGGGCCCGGACCACTAATATGGGGCGTGCTCCCTCCACTTCCCGTGCCGCTGCGCCCCGAGATCCCTCCGTCCAGCTCCCCGGGCGGCGTGGAGAAGCGCAAGCTCCCGTTCTCCGAGGAGTGCTCCGACGAGGAGGCAAAAGGCGATTGTCTGGAGTCTCCGAAGCTAAGGAAGGGATCTTTGAGCTGCCTGGAGGCCGCGTAGCCGGCGAGCCACTGCGAGTACACGTTTTCCGTGTTGGGCATCGCGGCCGGGGGCAGGTCGAACTCCTTCTCGAGCTTGATGCGCTTTGAGAAGGGGCTCAGCGAGCTGGGGCTGCCCAGCAGCAGCTTTTTGGACAGGCCCCCCGAGGCCGACTCGCCCGGGGAGCAGCCGCGGCCGTTAACAGTGCCATCGTCTATGCGGTCCGACTCGCCGGCCACCGAGTCTTCGTCGCAAGTGTCCCTGTGGCCCTCGGCCTCGGCCAGGTGGCCGCGCTTATGCTTCTCGCCCAGGACCTGGTGGAAGGCCTCGCTGAAGTGCTGCATGGAGCTGAGCACCATGCCCTGCATGACGTCGGGCAGGGCGCGGCTCTCGTCGCCCACGCCCACCACCGCGCCCCGCGAGCTGTTCTCGTGGTGGCGCGCCGCCTCCAGGCTCAGCCCGAAGCCGTAGTCCACCCTCTCGCTCTCCGTCAGCTCCTCCTCCTCCTCTTCCTCCTCTTCTTCCTCTTCCTCGTCGTCCTCCTCTTCCTCCTCGTCCCCGTTCTCCGGGATCAGGTTGGGGTCGTTCTCGCTCTTGAACTTGGCCACCACGGACTTGAGCGCGCTGCTGGCGCTGCCCACCAGGTCGCTGGTGCCGGGTTCCGGGGAGCTGGCGGTGGAGAGACCGTCGTCGGACTTGACCGTCATGGGGGATGACTTGTGCATGTGCGTCTTCATGTGGCGCTTCAGCTTGCTGGCCTGGGTGCATGCGTGGTCGCACAGGTTGCACTTGTAGGGCTTCTCGCCCGTGTGGCTGCGCCGGTGCACCACCAGGTTGCTCTGAAATTTGAACGTCTTGCCGCAGAACTCGCATGACTTGGACTTGACCGGGGGCTGGGAGGGAGGAGGGGCGGATTGCAGAGGAGGGAGGGGGGGCGTCGCCAGGAAGGGCGGCTTGCTACCTGGCTGGAATGGTTGCAGTAACCTTTGCATAGGGCTGGGCCGGCCTGGGGACAGCGGTGGGCTAGACGTGTTCCCTGCCAGCTCTCTAAGTCTCCTAGAGAAATCCATGGCGGGAGGCTCCATAGCCATTGGATTCAACCGCAGCACCCTGTCAAAGGCACTCGGGTGATGGGTGGCCAGGGCCATCTCTTCCGCCCCCAGGCGCTCTATGCGGTGGGGGTCCAAGTGATGTCTCGGTGGTGGACTAAACAGGGGGGGAGTGGGTGGAAAGCGCCCTTCTGCCAGGCCGGAAGCCTCTCTCGATACTGATCCTGGTATTCTTAGCAGGTTAAAGGGGTTATTGTCTGCAATATGAATCCCATGGAGAGGTGGCTGGGAAGGACATTCTGCACCTAGTCCTGAAGGGATACCAACCCGCGGGGTCAGGGGACTTCCGTGTTCGCTTTCTAAGTAGATTCTTAATCCATGAGTGTTCTGTGCGTGTTGCAAGAGAAACCATGCACTGGTGAATGGCTGTTTGCAAGTTGTACATGTGTAGCTGCTGGGCTCATCTTTACCTGCAAAATAATACAACACCAACATCAATGTTTAATCACTGAGGCGGGTATCAGCAATTGCTTATTTATGTTCCACCTCCAGCCTTCCCTGCCCCCACCCGTCAACCCCGAGGCCTAAGCCCTCACTGGCCTACCCCTGTGCCTAAATTGTGCCTGGCAGGACTGAGTGTGGGTACCCAGTAAATATTGGCCCAACCAGTCTCCCTGCCATTAAACTCGATTCTAGGAATTTTATATCCAGTCCCCAAAGCAGAAAAATCCTGGCCAGTTCGGGCTTGAGGATGAAGGTTCCTACAATCCTAGGCACCTCAACAAGTATCTTCTAAACTTTCCATTCCCATCAGCCACAGTTTGGGGCAAGCTGTCTCATCTCCATGTGCCTCTATTTCCTCCTCATTAAGCGAGAAACTTGGACAAGGTGACCCAAGGCAACTTTTTGGCTTCCCAAATCCTAGCTTTCTATTCCCTCCTGGGTGGCAGGCGAACTTTCTAAATAGGCAAACATTTCAGAGAGACATCAAAAAAGGGGGAGAAAGTCAACTCACTGCAATGCTCTATGGCCCTAGAGATGCTTTCAGTCTTAGCCTGAAACACACTAATTGTTGATATTGTTAAAATGAGAGGGTACTCATAAAATACTTCCGTGGAAAAAAAGACTAGCAACATTCTCACATCCCAGCCTGTGAGAGGGTCAATGGATCCCAATTTTGGTTCCACAACACCCTGTGGGGCTGCCTATTCTTATATCAAAGAATGTTGCAAAAATCTGCAAAGAACTCCATTCAGATTTAACAGGCTGCATCCAATCTTTAGGATTTGTCCCCAAGTCAGACAAATGCAAGTCTAGAAAAGTTAGGAGGAGTGGCTGGTGCTGACTTAAGTAGACACAGCATCCTAGTTTAAGGAACAGTTAAAGCAGCCAGCACCATGACAGGCAGCAGGCTGAGAAATGCTACACTATCCTCCTCCTCATTATTTTGAGAGGCTAACAACGTGAACCAAATTATACAACATCCTGCGCCCTCGGCTGAGACTCAGCTCCAGTTGAGAAAGAAACAGAAAGATACAGTTCAGCTAGTCAACTCTGGCCAGTAGCCAAGCCGTCTGGAGAGGGGCCCTGCTTAAGTCACATTATTTCTCTTGCTGAAAAGAACCCAAGAGTGGTAAATGCCACTTTGGCAAAGAAGGGCCAGCTTGACTTCACGAAATCTTTCATTTGGGGAGATGGCTAAATTAAATATATATATATATATATATATATATATATATATACACACATACACATATATATGGAATAACTAGCCAACAGTTTACTAGTCAACTGCAACTTTAAAAAGGGCAGAAGTAATGGTAGCCAAAGGACAAGGATGAGAAAAACAGAAAACTTCCCAGGGATTCTGAAAAAGGATTTAAAATATAACTGAAAAATAAACTTTTCTCCTTCTTTCAAAAGAAGGGCTGCAAGAGTTCCTTAAGGCCACAGCTAGTATCTGTCAGTAACTTTTTAAAAGGGGGAAAAAAAAATCTACCAGAGAGGTTAAGAGTGGGAATGAGGAATTAATCAATTACATGATGCCTCCATTTAGCAAGTCAGAAAGAAAAGCCAGCAGGGTCTTCTCAGGAGCCCCCAAACACTCGTATTCCAAAACAAGCCAGCCTCACTCAAGCACTTGTCTAAATAATGGACTCCTGCCCTGACCTTGTAATTTACTTTACAATGCATTTATAATCCCACTCAATATATCCCACTCCTGGGTAAATCTCTTTAACAAGATTAGATGGTAAGATACCAAAATTAGGTTTCAAACATTTGTCTAATGTGGAGGTGGGGAAAAAGGCAGAAAGATTTTGAAAGAAAACGCTGACATTAGTATCACATTATCCGCCTATTTTGATTTGCTTCCTCTCTTCAAAGGGAAATAAAGAGCTTCATTGAGAGCATTTTCATAAATGTTTTGTTGTTGTTGAACAATGACTCAGGTCCCAAATAAGCTGGAAAAAAACTATCTGGTTCCAACTACATGACCCTCTGTGGCTTCTCCCTGTCCTCCCTAGGTCTCTGGGTGATTATCATACCCGATTAGCCTGGGAGTCTGAGTTGGTTAAGTAAAAAGATTTGTCTGATAATGCAAGTCCTTAGCATGCTCATCACTCCAAATGCCTTAAAATCATATTTTACCTTATAAAAAATCTATTGAAATCCAGGACCGGATTCATAATTAGTGGTGCTGGTTTCATATGCGCCATGAATGTAGCCATTGATAAATGCCGAAATCTGTGGCATACAGCACTACATCAAGGATCTCATTTGTATCCTTTCTAACAGGCTTAAATGAGAAAAGTCCATTTCATTTTGCTGCCCTGAGCTTCCTAAATTTTTTTTTTCAGAGCCAGTTATGTGATCATGCTACAGTATGTTAACACTGTGATGTTATCCTCCCTTCTCTCTCATGCATCAGGTCAGAGAAAATGGCATTTTATCTTATAATGAGCATACAACATACAGTTTTCACTATCGCATTTTAGTATTCTCATCAACTAGATATTCTAGATCATGAGGGCAGCCAGTGTAATCATAATGTCAATGAGAAGGGCTGTTACGATTGAGACTAAAGATTACATGGAGAGAGCTGCTTTGAAACTGGTAATTATTACCAGTCCACTAATAGCAAATGATGCATTACAATTTCACCATATAATCTGTATTTCACTCGGCTCGTGCCGGTGTACCATATTATATTACAGTGCTCACAGATTCTAAATTCCTAAACTGCAGTCATCAATAAATGTGTTACTTGCCATAATTTGTGAAATTACTTTGTTCATAACATCTTTGATGATTTAGAAAGACCGGAATTGATTTCCTGTGTGGCAAAATTAGGACTCCATTGATTTATTGATGTGTAAAATGTAATAATATTCTTCATTTACTCTGATGAAAATCAACTTCTCAATTTGAGAGCCTCATTGGGCATTCACGGGGATTGTTTTGATTTAGAGCAATAAACTGACACCTGGCTCCTAAGAATAGAAACTTGAGGCATCAAAAGGGTTAAAATCAGCTATTAGCCCACCTACTGGATTTTATTGTATTTTATTTCATTTTACTTTATGGGAAGGAATGATCCCCATTTCTAGTGTGTCACCAATGTGAAAAAGTCATGTGAACTCAGCTTCAAGATTCAGAAGAACAAGGAGGTCTGAGCCCAGAGCCTGGCTCTATTATTCACTAGCTTGTAACTACTCTGGGGTAGTCATTTGATTTCTGAGCCTTAGAATTCCTATCTGTAAAATGAGCATAAAAACAGTACCTGTAAAGAATTGCTGGGAGGTTCAAATGACAGACGTGTATAAAAGCCCTCTGTAAACTATCAGCTCCGACATGAATGTGAGTTTTAATTGCTATCAGGGGTGATTAATTACTGAGGGTAATGACTAACCACGTTACAAACCCAGAACGGCTTCCAGAGGAAGGTCCGAGTCCAGGCCTTAATCCAGGCCAAAAGGAGGCTCTAGTTAAAGAGCAGGAGTGACTGGCGCATAGCCAAGTGCCCACATGAAAGTGGTATGAGCTCTGGAAGCCAGGGGCAGCAGGTTAATGCTGCCAAGTGGAGTGGGCATCAGGTTTGTTCTAGAGCTTTCTGGACCCCCATAACCCATTTCCACATACCTTGTTCTGGTCACTCCTAAACTGGTCCTGCCGGCAGGGGCACCAGCAAACTATGTGCCTTCCCTTTGTGGGAAGGTGGAAGAGTGCAGGGGTTCCCTATCAAGCTCCGACTTTCCTACCAGTCAAATCAAACTCCCTGCCCTCAGGAAAACCAGGCTGAAGATAGAGAACTACGTTTCTCTGGCCAGCAGCGCTTCGCCTCTCAACTCCACCCTCCTTTAACTGCCCAACTCCCTTCTTCCCCTTCCCTCCAAAAGTGGCTCTGTTCCCACAGCCCCATGCAGGCCCCAGATGCCCCCAGCAACAAGAGAGCTCTCCCCACCCAGCCAGCATGCAGGGACTTGAAACCTTGAGTCCAACCCCTTAAACTCTCTGCAATCTGTGACTTAACCCAGGCTTAGGCCCAGCTGTGGGGGATGGGTAGATGAGGTGCTTTTAACCCCTGAACCACCCAGCCCTCGGGACCTGAGGGCTTATGAAATTCACACAATAACTCTTTGTTACCTAGGATTACCTAGGAGGTAACAAAAATAAACAACTGGCTTTGAATTTGGTCTCAGGGTACATGCCCTGCTCTTCAGTTACCACATACAAAATGGGTAAGTGTAGTTTCCTCCCATCTAAAAAACAGTCCCCCTTGGAGCCTTCACTCTGGCAACTTGCTCTTTGTTATTCTCTTTCCATGACTCTTTCCCTTTTTTTTTTCTTTCCATGGCAGGTTATTTTTCATTTACTTTCAAATAAAAATTAGATGTCACACTGCTTTTCTTCTTGAACCTGCTTTTTTGTGTTTAGAGTGGAATCACTGCCCACCCCACAACCTTTCAGCCATGCACGATTCATACCATGTGTTGCTACACAGAGAAGCAAACTGTATTATTTTCTAAAACAGTATCTTTCAGAAAATGTTTGTATAAATAAACAAATTTAATTTTCATAAAGCAATCCCTACTATAAAAGCTTGCTTGAACAAGTAAATGGTGGTGGTGGTAGGAGAACTTTCACATTTTAACTACAATGATGTGCATTTTTCTCTAAAACCAGGAGAAAAACAAGTCAAAATTATGTGTATACATGTATATATAAAATATTCTATGTTCAAATAAATATGTAAATGCATAAGGAATATGCATTAGAATAACTCTGGAATAACCCTAAACTGTCTCCTTTTGATTCTGGCCTTGGCTAAAGATGTGTGCCATGGACTACACCTGAAGTGCTAAATGAGGCCACGGGAGTGAATGTCCAGTAATAAATGGGCTCTGAAGGCACAGGCATATTCAATCACTAGCCATGGAGCCAGACCTGGGGAGAAGACAGGGATGAGCTGCTATCAGCTCCTGGCCTTCAGTGAGGAAACAAAAAGGGGAGGGAAGAAGTCCCTCTGGGGCTAAGTGGAGTGGGGCAGTGGGTGCCAAGTGAGTAATGGAATAATACATATGCCAATCTATTTTGGAAGTAACTCCCTTCAGTACTTAAAAAGTAAGGGCAATTTCCAGAAACTCTCATCTCTATATACATGGACATTTGTAGAAGAAATAAGGCTCAACTTACAAATACCCTGCGGGGCATATTCTGCACTCATCCCAGGCGTGGGGATTAGAGCTCCGTGTGCAGAACGAGGGGAGGAGAGGCCCCTCCAGTGCAGAAGTTTATCTGTGAAAGAAACCCAAAATCAAGCATTGCAGCTATAAACAACATACATCGTAAACCACAGGATATCACATTTCAATTCCATTAAAATAGATTAACATCATTACAACAGCCTTGCAGATAGTTAACAGGCCCAAGGCCTGAAACAAAAGAACAGTGGTGAGTTATTTCCCACAGTTTCTGTTTTGTTTCCAATTTTGGTCTTTTTGACAAAAGGGAAGGGGTTTGTTTGAGGAATGGGGAGAGGTGGTCTTTGGTTCATTTGCTTATATGTTGTTGTTTGATTATTGTCTTGCGGAAAGAGGTGTGTGGACAGCAAGGGGAAAACTGGTAATATTATAGGTAGCCTGGAAACATGGGGGGATTTTATCTGCAAGGCTGGTTTACATGCATACATTAACTTTACTTTATAGACAAACCCAAGCAAAAAACAAAATGCTGATAGGAAATGAGTAGATTTGTGAACCATTTTTTATGGGACAGAATCCCACTCTGGTTTCTCTGTTCCTCTGCTCCCCACCTCCCATGCCATATTTATGATAGGGCCTTCAGTGATAGGGGAACCTTGGGGATTTCTGGACTGGGCTGGACCATACTCCAGAATCCTGTCCACGGGAGACCCTACGTAGACATGGCTTCTCACAATACAAAGCAATAGAAGATAAAGATTAGACTTCTGGGATCCAAATAACTTTGGCCATTAAATGACAAGGAAAGAACCAGCATTCCAATAATAGCAGCACCCAGAAATCCTGGCCCACCTTCACCATTTTACTGCACTTTGTTGCCTCTGGTGAAGACAAGTGACTTCTCACACTAATAAAATGAATCTAACAGTCAATGAAGCATTTCTAGCACTGTGATTTTTTAGAAGAAAATTTAATTTGTGCAACCTGGGGATTTTATGGCTTCTGTGGTAAGTGTCTAGCTTTTCCAAGTCCACCTCTAGCTAACTAACCACTTAGATGTCCATCTTGAGACAGACTGGAGGAGATGGTGCAGAAGACGCTCTGTGTATTCTAGAGGTTTGGAGTTTGTGGTGATTGGGGAGGGTGGGAGAGAAGAAAAACAGACTTTGATGGTGCATAAACAGTATGTTTTCCATTAGCTTAATATTAAGAGCACTTAGAAGTGTTGTTGTTATACTGTAGGATAGCAAGTCTCAAGTGTAAAATACATCCTGTTCTCCTCATTTAGAGTACACTGCCAAGCACAGCCAGAGCAGTTGGGACAAGATTTGCTTTTGCGAAGAGCCTGGTGGGTAACAATGGTGTGCTGCTGAGAAGGCTCTTACACAGACAGCATAGGCCTGCTGTCACCAGACCTGCAGAGGAGGCCCTGGTGGAAGCACCACCTAGCCTGAGATCATCTGCAGATGGTCTCATCCTCTCTGACCCAAAACAAAATAAACACTGCAAAGTGAACCAACAAAAGCCGGAAGACCAGACTTAACGAACAAGTATGTCTACATTTGACTGTTTATGTCAAGTGAATTGAGTGTGGTATAAAACTACTAGAGATTTAGTCATGGTAGTTTTCAATGAGAAATCTGAGAACCATTTTTGCACTTGTTTTTGCCTCAGCCATTCAATAAGTTTGCTGCCAAAACAGACATCCTTTTCTCAGGAAACCCATGCAACCCAGGTATCTCTGTGATCCCAGCACAAAAGCAACAGGTACTTGGATCCTTGTACAGGGAGTGTCTAATTTCAAATTCTCTGCCACCTACTCTGGGAAGAGACCCTGAAGTGCTTCAGCAGGCCTCCAGCAAGAAATGGGAGAACTGCTAACCTAATCCATGCTTAGCCCCTCGCATGAATCTCCAGTTGCCAAACTTATCTACAAGCTCGTTAGCCCTAAACAAGCTGACGGCAGGACCAGATCTCTAGAGTCTCAGGCCACGTGGCCAAGTAAGGACTCATCTGAGTATCTGGCAGCAGAGTTTGCTTTTGTTTTTGTTTTCTAAATTGTAAAAAACCTTAGCTATCATCAAGTCTGTCCCTTCATTTTACAGACGGGGAAACTGAGGCTTTGAGAAATTAAATGACTTGCCCATGGCTACACTGATGGTTCACCACAATGTGAAGATTAGAATTTGTCTCCTGACTCCTGATCCAGTGGTTTCTTCCCCTCTGCTGTTCCTGCCGTGGTCTTCAACGACCAACAGGAAGGTCCTGTTTCTACTGATCCATTAGGCCGTACTTAACAGTCTTGGGGGAGGGTCCAGCCCGGCAGTGTTACAAGGGGCTTTCGAAAGGTGCCAATAAACTGACTCAGTCTCACAATTGGAAAAGAAGGTGTGGGCCTCCCGGCCTCACCTTTGCTGTGTTCACCCTCTACCTCTGTGTCCCCTGCAGAATTAGCCAGCTGAAACCATTTCTATCAGCCTAACAAGCTGTTTACTTTAGAAAAAAAGCACACTGTCTTTGTGAGACTCAGCCTTGCATTTATCTTTCTCCAGGAAGAGGGTCAAAGCAAAGCCAATTGGGGACCCCAGCTGATTCTGATGCTTCTTCCACTAAACACATCCATAATATACTCCTTGGTAAGTAAAATCGACATTCCCACATGAACTGGAAATGCTAAATTGTTAATAGCCTCCCTAGGGCTTAACTTCTTGCTATGATGCCTTCAATTATTTCATCACGGCTTAGGCAACATGAAGTATCACAATTAATGCTTCTGAGCGTCAAACTAGAGGATCAGCTCTGCCTTCCCAGGCCAAGGCAGGGAAAAAGAGCTGCGCTTGGTTGAAGATCTCTTCTCTGCCCACACTCACTTTCATGCTCCCCAGACAGAGATGGGCTCTGGTTGCTGGCTAGGAAGTGAATGATCTAGTTATGTCCTCTTTATTTCTTTGTTGGTGCTCTTAGGCAAGTGATTCTCACAGTGTGGACACAGCCCCACCCCACCCCCATCAGCATCACCTGGGAGCTTGTTGGAAATGCAAATTCTTGAGCACCACCTCAGACTTACTGAATCAGAAATTGAGAGCAGGACAGGGAAGCAGAAGTCTATGTTGAATAAATTCTCCAGGTGATTCTGATGCACACTCAAGTTGAATCAGCACTGCTGTCTTACGGTAAGGGAAGGTGTGAATGCTGAAAGCTTTGAGAGTCCCTGGGCAGAGACTCATGAGCCAAGAGGCTCTTCTCCCTCCTGTCCAGGACCCACCTCCTTTAGGACTGGAACAGTCAAAAACAAATTAAGCTTAGGGGATCCCTCAGGGTCCCTCCATTAGGAAATATAGGCTCCACCCACTGTTTGTCATTGATAAGGACCGGGAACAGGTCCAGGCTCTCCATCAGGTCGAGGGCCTTCTTAGCATAAGACAACACCCAAACCAGCTTTTGCCAGACAGACCGTATCCTCACTGCTTCCATAAAAGCTGACATGCCAGAGAACGCAGCTGTGGCAACTGCACGGACAGGGCAGGAAATGGACTCTTGTTTCCCTTTCTGATCTCTCAAATGGGACACATTTCTCTTTTCTGACTCAATCTTTTTTCAAATGTCTTACACTTTTCTGGTGGAAGGTGTTTCAACCTGTTCTATTTCATGAAGGTCTCTGTAGATCCAGCATTTCCACTTGGGGCCTCAGAAATGCCTTACACATTATTAGGTTGCAAAGTTTCCTTATGGCTGAATAAAAAAATAATGACTCTTATTTTTCAGTCCTCATTAAAAAATCTGCAACAAACTGGGAATGGTTTTGATTTAATGTTATACATTTGGTCACTTTATATTTCTCTATATATTGGGTACCAACTTTTGACACAGAGCTCTAAGCCCAGTGGGATGTCCCTGGAATTTAAGGTCATTAAATCAAGTTTTTTGGTTTCCTCAAGAACATCTCAAAGATTCCTTGACTGTTAACATGCTATTTGTTTCTGAAACTAATCACTGGGTGTGTAATACAGCCACATTACTGTCTACTAATCAACAGGTAATAGTGCAGATTTCCAAATGTGCCAAAACAGCTAAGCAAAAAGCATCATTCCAACACATTTAATGACTGCTTTGGGAGCCCAACTTTTACCAGGTACTAAAACCACAGGACTCTCCACAGCAGTACATAGATGTGTGTTATTCACTAAAATGTATGTGTGTATGTGTGTGTGTGCACATGTGTATGTGTGTAAGTGTGTGCATGTTTGTATGTGTGTGTGTATGGGGGTGTGTGTATATTTCCTAAACATATGTTTTTATATACTTTCCCTGTGTGTGTTTTTTTTTTTTCAATAAGACAGGCCCAAAACAGTAGAGCTGTCCCACATGGAATGGGCTATCTCATGATGCTGTGACCTTCCTTTCTTTCACCCTGGGTCTTCAAAAAGAGAATGGATGACACCATGATGAGGAGGGGTCTCTATGTTGGTGACAAGCCACAATACCGGACTCCCTACAGTCCTTTCCAATTCTGTAATCCTCAAGTCCCTCAGCCCCTCCAGGTAGCCACCTTCTAGACTACACTTAAAATGCATCGTGAACATCTGTAAAGTACCCTGGAGCAACCAATTCCAGTTCTGAATCCGATTACTAGGTTCGAGCCACACAAATAACAACAGTACAGCTAGTCTGAGCTAGAGGGTTCTTTATCTAACTGCAAAGTAAATGTCCTTTCTATTCAGCCACATCTAGCTCTTGACCCTACATTTACCATAGATACCAGTTCTTCTCACTTAGATTCTCTGACTTATCAGAGTATTATAGAGCAAACATTAGCTATGCCTGTGTCTTGAGTTGTGTCAATCTGTACTGAAAATGTGCCAGCTTTATCATCACTCACAGACTTCTTAATTAACCTTCTGATATTGTCAAAATCGCATTCTCTTTTGTTCTAGAAATGAGCATTTACATGGCATTTTTTCCCTTCGTTGCTTTTTTACTGGCTAAGATTTTACCAAATCCTGATGCTCTTTAAAAAATGAATTCTGCAAAAACAAAAAAAAGCAATAATCATAGACACTACAATATTGAATTTCTTCCTTGAAACTCGCTCAT